TGTAATATTGTGCTACAGTGCACATTCTATCAGTTACAGTTCTGACGCCTCCGTCTCAATATACTGTACAATGCCACATGCATTCACATCAGTGTTAACTCAGCGGTAGAGTTATACTCACAGGACACAATCACAAAAGTACATTAATTGCTTTAAAGTCTTGCCGATTAAAAATTTCATTTGCGTGCTGTTCTGATGCGCTTTTCCAGTGCGCGTACACCTGAAGTGTGAACACACTAAAAGTGTCTTAACAGCACCTGATTGTTAAGTTATGTTTTATCTTCTGCGCATGTGCGAAGAGCACCATTTTGGGGTTAGCACGGCTTTTTTGTAGCTCAGTTCAGTCCTGTATACGGAGCTGCTGTGGTTGAACGTGTTTGAGCAGTAAAGAGTGTTATTGCTAAGAACAGTTGTGGTTATTGAGTCAACATTGATTACTGAACTAAGTTATGTATCGCATCTGATTGCGCTAATACTGCCAAAAACACACGAGGTTTACATATACAGTGGGTACGGAAAGTATTCAGACCCCCTTAAATTTTTCACTCTTTGTTATATTGCAGCCATTTGCTAAAATCATTGAAGTTAATTTTTTTAGATCAAAAGGGTGCTTCTACTAAATACTGAGCAAAGGGTCTGAATACTTAGGACCATGTGATATTTCAGTTTTTCTTTTTTAATAAATCTGCAAAAATGTCAACGATTCTGTGTTTTTCGGTCAATATGGGGTGCTGTGTGTACATTAATGAGGAAAAAAAATGAACTTAAATGATTTTAGCAAATGGCTGCAATATAACAAAGAGTGAAAAATTGAAGGGGGTCTGAATACTTTCCGTACCCACTGTAAACACAGTTGCTTTTGTCTAAAATGAAAGTTAAATGGTTGAGAGAAAAACGGATGCGTGCCTGTATATTAGATGTGTGCAGCTCTTAAAGCGACAGTACTGAACATGCTGCCGACTGTCATTAAAGGGATAGTTCACTCTAAAATTATAATTCTGTCATTATTTACTCACTCACATGCTGTCCCAAACCTGTATTCATTTCTTTCTTGTGCTGAACACAAAAGACGATATTTTGAAGAATGTGGTTAACCAAACAGTAGCTGGTCCACATTGAATTTAAGAATATAAATTATCAAATAGATAACGTTCAACAGAAAAAAGAAACTCATTCAGGTTTAAAAGTAAATGATGGTATAAAAATAAAACACTATGACAGAATTTACAGACAGATGACAGAATTATCATTTTTTTGGGTGAACTGTTCTTTTAATGTTAAAGGGGTCATATGATGCTTTTTTAAAGATCTACATCCAGAGTGAGGAAAAGGGCTCAGAAAATCACTCTGGATCCATCACATCCAAGCCATCTCCTTTTTGAACTTTTGCCATCTGGTCGGCGTTACAGAGCACCGAATACCAGGACAGCCAGGCACAAGAACAGTTTCTTTCCCCAGGCAATCTGCCTCATGAACAGTTAATATTTTCCCATTGTGCAATTAAAGTATGTGCAATAACCTTATACCTATTTATCACCCTAAACCCTAGTACATCCCTACAACGTATTTTATTTTATTCTATTCCTATTCCATCTACAGCACACCTGTGCATACAATTTATTCTTTTTTTTTTGTGGTTTATATTTATGCATGTGTATTTTATTCACATCTCATTTTTATTATCTGTGTGTTGTTGTTGTCTCCGTGTACTGGAAGCTTGTGACACTATAACAAATTCCTTGTATGTGCAAACATACTTGGCAATAAAGCTCTTTCTGATTCTGATTCTGATTCTGAATTCAGTTTCTTGAATGCTACTGCTAAATACACCTACTGTGCCTGAAAAATAAAACAGTTTGTTTTATTTGTATTATGTTTATTTGTAATGTGTATCTTTGTTCTTATTTTTAATAACAAAGATAAAATAATGACAATTTTATTTATTATCTTTGCTCACTTTATCTGCCATTCTTTTTTTATTTTATACTTTGTTACCTTGAAAGGCTTTGTTTTTAAAACAGGGAAATCAGTTTGGCTGTACTGCTCAGACAACTTGCAAAATTGTAAAACCAACATGACAAAGCATCGTGATAAAATCGTGATATTTCTGAAAAAAAAAAATCGTGATATGATCTTTTTGCCATATCGCCCACCCCTATCTGGCGCTATATAGAAAATAAAATTAACTTGAGTTTCAAGGGGGGACAGGGGGTGCCAATTTTTTTTGATGATATGCAATATCTCAGTGTTTTATTGTGTAACCATTATTTCAAATGAGTGTAAGAAGCCTAAACAATGACTTAGACCCTTAAAAATGATAGTTATCTTGAATCTGTATAATAAACAAAGGAAAAACAATATCAGGAAGTTTGCAGGGTTTTGGATCAAATCATTTAAATAGTTTGAACCTTAGTGGCCAGATAATGGGAGCACTAAAATCATCTCTTGGTTCACAATGCTACTTAAGTTTAGTATCTATAACAAAATATGAAATGAGTTGTAAATATTCTGTATATCACCCAGCCCTAGTGTGTCTTGTGTGTATCAGTTGGTAGTTGTTTATTTTTTCTGTCTTTTGTTACAGGATCTGTATTGTGTACGCAGTGACTTGGGTAACCTGCTTAAAGCGCTTGGGCGCCTTGAAGAGGCAAAGGTATGTTTAAACATGTCGGCCCTTGCACGTTTACATAATGATTTTGGTTTTAAAATCATAGCTGTAGACCATAATCCCCTGTCAGACACCTAGCCATTCTTGTACTTTGGGAGTGAGTGTTAGACTTGTTTTTTTTATTCAGTAAGTTCTTGTCAGCGCACTCGAGTGTGCTGCTCATTTTATTTCCCCACGTCAGCACTCTTTACCGTCCTACAGGTCTAGCCTGAGCATTCAGCTAGAGCAGAGTGTACCTAGAGCCACCAGGTCACCTGCATCTCACCTACCTAGTCAAAAGCAAATTCTCTCTTTTTTATTTATTTTTTTTAATTCAGCAAGGTTAAGTCCCCTTTACCCTCTTCTCACTCGCTTTTTTGTTTGGTTTTGTTCATTTGGATGGCTAGATTAGAGACATACCCCTTCTTTTTGCCCTCTCACTCCAATGCTGCTTTTAATCTAAACACTGCTTCTTCCTGGCCCGGCCAGCCCCCACTCACCCCCACACAAAGGAAGAAAGGCTGGGCTCTTCTGTGTCTCACACCAAACGGGGGTCCTAAAACACATGCTGCAGTTTGGCATGCTTTCTTCCCTGTAGTCTCTTGGAGGGATTTCGCTGGCTCGGTCTTGGAGAAATAAATGGACTGATGGAGATAGTGGTCTTTGCTGTGCAAAAAATAAGATGGCTTCTAACCCTAACCATGCATTTCGGGTCATTTGCGTTATTTAAAACAATTGATTCCCTTTAAAAGTTGAAAAGTCGTGGCCCTTTGGATGGCATTTTGGATTTACTACCCCAGCATTACGGTGCTCAAATAAATGCCGCCTTTCAGGCAGTGTGGCCATTTGTGGTTTTGGTGGGTCTTTGGGAGTTTGTCTTGATGTTGTAGAGAGAGTTCTCTTCCTGTTGGTTAGAAGCCCTCTTATTTGGTGCCTCAGGGGGGCGGGGTGGGGAAGAGCACGAGGGGCCGGCGGTCCCCCACCCGCTCTGTCGCTCCTAACCCCCCGCGCGCTCGCTTAGGGCCTGTGGAGTGTGCGCGCGTCGAACTGTCTGCCTGACCCCTCAGTCAAGCCAACAGATGCTTTGCAAGGGCTCCATAGTGCATCCGAGTAGAGCCTGTATCATTTTGGCCTTGGTTTTTTTCCCCCCAGTTCAACTTCACATCCCCCTATATTTACAGCTTACCGGGTTCGGGAGGGTTCGTGTTTTTCCAACGCTGTGTCAGCCCTGGGCTGTGCCAGGCAGACAGATCGCTTTTTGCACTCCACTGCACGCGTCAGACACCATGATAGAGAGAGAAATATACTCGCGCGACACAAGCGATGACCTCTTTATTTCAGAGCTGTGGAGGCTTCTAGATGATTATGAAGTCTTTAAACCCCAGACTTTTTCCCATATCCATTGGCCAGGAGTCAAGAAGGCAGGACAGGATAAAGCAAACAAGGTATTAAACCATGTAAACAAAGACCAAAAGAATCATCGATTACATTTCTTCCCCCTTGTATGTTATGATTATTAATATTCCCAGAGCAATGTGATCAGTTTGTTTGGGTAAGATCAAGCCAGTTGGCCTCACTCCTTTACCTGTATTTGAAAATGTGACGCGGTAATTAAAAGTTCAAACCTGTGTGTAAATCTCATCTCAAAGCCTTTCTTCACTCTCGACCCCTTGCGAACATACTCCTGTTTCTGAAAATGTACAATCCTTTCATCGCATGGGTTTAAACTGATGTTAGGTCATTTTATATTTCTTTTCCTTTTTTTTTTGTTTTGTTTTGTTTTACTTGTTTTGCTTTGTCAATACAAGTTTTGATATCCATATGAAATGTCTTGATTGCAAACTTTTACTAACGCTCTTGTTTTCTTATTTTGTCTCTTTTGGTTTTTCCACAACTGATATTGTTATTTAGAAGGTTTCAGGTGGGTGACACTATTCCTGCGTAGGTGCGGTCCGGTGGACAGGAACACTAGGGCAGCATCAGTCCTCTCCTCTTCCAGCTGCGGCCGCCCCCCAGACAAAGTCCAAAAATATGGTAACGGGTTTGTAACAAAACAGAAAGAAAAACACCTTAGTTCAATGCCTGAGTTCTTCTGTCTTGTGGCTTCCTTTGAAGAACAAAAAAGCAAGAGAAAAAAAAACGAGTAAATTTAAAGCAGAAGAAAAACGTAATGCCCAAGTAAATTAAAAAGAGATATGGATTCGATGCTGTAATCAAACGAAAGCACAGTAAGAACCCTCTAACTCTCTTACTTGTTGATTTTTTTTTTCCTATTCATTTGGATTATGATTTTTTTTCTTCTTTATTTGGAGTTGCAGCGTTCTGCTGAGCAGATGATGCGCTGTGAGTCTACAGTGGCGCAGGGGCTGCGCAGCGACAAAACCGCGACCAAAAGACGCGCGCTTGAACCACACTCCCCCTCCCTCGACCCCCGGCTGGTGGGTTGCAGACCTGCATGCCCTCCCTGCTAGCATGGGACCCAGTGGCTGTGCAGCCTTAAACATGACACCATTGGCAATGACCATTACGTAGTATGACTACTTAACGTATTGCTCTCCAACAGTTAACTCGATATGAATGGAATTGGCCGTGGGTACTCACTCAAGTTGAAGGCCCCAAAGAGTAGAGGGTTTCATAGTTTCGTGTGCCAGTCTGGTGGGGAGTTAAATCGCTGCAGGTCTGCTGTCTGCACCCTGAGCCGGCGCAGGCGAATATGGGCGCTAGCGGCAACGGCGCAAGCGGCGGCCACGGTGTGGGTCGCCTGCGTGGCTTTTTGCGCTCGCATTACAGGGACCTCCACCTGCACGCCGCACTTGCATTTAAGGTTGTGAATTTGACTGAGATTGTGTAATGTCAATGATCTGAAGCTGACTTGGCACTCGTGCCTTTTTGTGTTTTAGTTTTAAGTGCAACATTTTAGTTGTAAAGTTTTTTTTGAAATCGCATAACTGAAGAATGTAAGTCGGAGTATAGGTGTTGGTTGGATTTGCGCAGCGTAGGAAAAGTGTGCAGCTTAGAATTTTCGCGCACGCGAGCCCATGCTGTAGGCTCACTTTTTGCATTTTGTGAGAATAGAGACTAACTGTTTCTGTCTGCCCTTTTTGTTCTTTCTTCCTTTTTATTTGATCTTTTGGTTTCTTTACTTTTACAACCCCTCCTCTGTCTACTCTCTGTTCTTCTCTCTACCTCCTCTTCCTCCTGTTTTTTTTGTTTTTTTTACTGTTAACCTGTTGAAGGCTTGTTACCTGAAGGCAATTGAAACCCAGCCAAACTTTGCCGTGGCCTGGAGTAACCTGGGCTGCGTGTTCAATGCTCAGGGGGAGATCTGGCTGGCCATACATCATTTTGAGAAGGTTGGTTGCAGATGACAGTCGCACTTTGGACAGTGATGATAAATGAATGAATGAATATAATGGGCTGTTCTGTGGGCTTACAGGCAGTGACCCTGGACCCTAACTTTTTGGATGCTTACATCAACTTGGGCAATGTTCTGAAAGAGGCTCGTATCTTTGACAGGTAAACGGTTACGTCCTCTACCATTACATTTTGACTCGAAGCCTTTTTTCCGCCAATCTGATACATGTCGTTTTCCCCTTACAGAGCTGTTGCTGGTTATCTGCGTGCCCTCAGCCTGAGCCCTAACCATGCTGTTGTCCATGGAAACCTGGCGTGTGTGTACTATGAGCAGGGATTGATTGACCTGGCCATTGATACTTACCGTCGTGCCATTGAGCTGCAGCCACACTTTCCTGATGCATACTGCAATCTCGCTAATGCACTGAAGGAGAAAGGCAGTGTAAGAACCTACATTTACGTTTTTGAATGATTCCTCTATCATGCATCCCTGCTGTCTACACTCATGTTTTCATCCCATTCATTTGTCAGTGTTGTGCTGATTTGTAAGGCACGGCTCAAACCAAGCAGATTTCTGTTGTCAGAAGGGAATCTGTGAGACCAATTCTCTCTCGCATAAAATTCCCAACCGCATAGATTCCTATAGAAATGGCTCGAGTTTGCCTGCTAAAATTCACAGGACGACCTTTAGAATCAAGAGATGGATTGTCTGCTAACTTGCATGTTTCCTTTTAGGTTTCTGAAGCTGAAGAGTGTTACAACACTGCGCTGCGTCTGTGCCCGACTCATGCAGACTCCCTTAACAATCTGGCCAACATCAAGCGTGAGCAGGGCAACATTGAGGAAGCTGTGCAGCTCTACAGAAAAGCACTGGAGGTGAGGGGACCAGTGAAGTCCTCTAAAAATGCATATTCATTATTATACCTGTTTTTTTTTTAACCTGTTATGTGAGATGTTTTCATTCATGTTTCTTAAGTTTTGGTTTTATTTATTGGAAAGGTGTTCCCTGAATTTGCCGCTGCCCATTCAAACCTGGCCAGTGTCCTGCAGCAGCAGGGGAAACTTCAGGAAGCTCTCATGCACTATAAGGAGGCAATCAGGCATGTTCTTGTTTTTAGCTGCATTCTAAAGTCATTTTGTGTTGGTGTCTTTCAATGTCTCACTGTCTGTCTGTTTTTCAACCACTGAGCAGAATCAGCCCCACATTTGCTGATGCTTACTCTAACATGGGCAACACTCTGAAAGAGATGCAGGATGTTCAGGGGGCTCTGCAGTGCTACACTCGAGCCATTCAGATCAACCCCGCTTTTGCAGATGCTCACAGTAACTTGGCTTCAATACACAAGGTATGAATCTAGAAACTTGGAGAATTAATTTCAGTGTTAATTTGGATTCAAATTACATCCTTCTCCCTTTGAAGGATTCTGGGAACATTCCTGAAGCGATTGCATCGTACCGCACTGCCCTGAAGCTCAAGCCAGACTTCCCTGATGCTTATTGCAACCTGGCTCACTGTCTGCAGGTATGTAGGAGTCTTAAGTGCATGTTTTCACTGCGCACTCTGGTGGGAATCTTTGTGTGACGTCATATTGTGCTCTGGTCCTCAGATTGTATGTGACTGGACCGACTATGATGAGCGCATGAAGAAGCTGGTGAGCATTGTGGCTGATCAACTGGAGAGGAACCGCCTGCCATCTGTGCATCCCCATCACAGCATGCTCTACCCCCTCTCTCACGGTTTCCGCAAGGCAATTGCAGAGAGGCATGGCAACTTGTGTCTGGATAAGGTGTGTTTATTATGTTAAACATATTTACACAGGCTCATTCTGCTCTGTTCTGCTGCATTTTCGGATTTGTAACTTGGTTTTGGTGTGAAAGTAGTTCTTATAGTCATTCCATGTATAAGCGTCCGTATAATACTTTGCTTGTTCTATAGATCAATGCTCTTCATAAACCTGCCTATGAGCATCCAAAGGACTTGAAGGCCAGTGGAGGCCGTTTGCGTGTGGGTTACGTTAGCTCTGATTTTGGCAACCATCCCACTTCCCACCTGATGCAGTCCATCCCTGGCATGCACAACTCTGAGAAGTTCGAGGTGATGTGTCTGTAATGCAGTAGTTAATTATAGATCTTTCTGTTAAGCACATTGTGGTGAGCTGGTATATTGTTATATTGTTATATCATACTGTTATATTGTTCACAGGTGTTTTGCTATGCTCTCAGCCCCGATGACAGCACCAACTTCAGAGTTAAAGTCATAGCAGAGGCTCATCACTTCACTGACCTCTCACAGGTGAGTATATGTGTACATAACACAGGCTTATTTTAGGTATATCATTTTCCTTCTCCATTCGGGGGTCTGTTTTGGTTTCATCATGTGTCCTGTGTTCATAGATCCCCTGTAACGGAAAGGCAGCAGACAGGATCCTTCAAGATGGAGTCCACATCCTGGTCAACATGAATGGTTATACTAAAGGAGCACGCAATGAGCTTTTCGCATTGCGCCCTGCACCCATTCAGGTAGGCCAGCGGTCAGGAACCTATGGCTCGCGAGCCACACCTCGCCAGATCTTTCACTCTTTACCAACAAATGACCTATTACAAAAATTAGACATCACTAGAGATCAGCAATTCCTTTGTTGTAGAGCCTACATAAGCTGATAAAACGTTTAAAATAATAAATTTTTTGTACCGGCCAAAGTGTGTTCAGTGCGTGTTCAGTGCTGTTCGCGAGAGTCACGACAGCAAACCACTGACATGTCTATGGTAACGTACAGCTAATAAACTTAGATTCGCAGCTTGTTTGTGGTAGGCTAATAGCAAAAAATTTTTTTTTGAACAGCAGAAAAAGTGTAAAAGTGTGTAAAACAAGTGACAGGACTGAAACAAATACTTGGTTTTATTTATTTTATACTTTGAAACATTTCGTCGGTTACTTTCGCTTTATCCGCGCAGCTTTCAGCGGGTGGGGCTGTTAGCATTATTAATAAAGGAACGTGAATGAATGAGACCGTAAAGAGCGAGACGTTCTTGATATAAAAAAGACAGACAGTATTAAAAACTAAAAACCGTGAAACAGAACTCAATCCGCTTCTGACTGGATGTTTTCTGCACGCGAGATCCGAGTGGAACACGGACAAGCATAGTAGACTTGGTAGTAGTAGTGGCGCGCCTAAAACGGTCAAAACACGGAGTGTCAAAATGCCTTATTTTTCACTCACTCAGTCTCTTACACACACACACACACACACACACACACACACACACACACACACACACACACACAGAGAGAGAGAGAACTCTGAAGAGAATTCATCCCCCTCAGGCTGTAAATCAACCTCACAGTAAAATATATATAGTGTTTCCCACAGACTTGCACTCTATTTGTGGCGGCATATTTATGCAAATTCATTCTCTGCCAGCAGGAGGCACTGTTGGAGTGGTAGAGATCGAATAAAAGCAGTAGCGGTCGGTAACTCTGGTGTAATTTGAATGGGAGCGGGCGGTCTAACAATATCCCGTTCCTGACATCCATTCAGAACAGCATATCTGCCCTTTATTCTTATTGACCACCAGTACAGCCTGCACTCGGACTGTTATGCACGCGCTGGACGCATGCTTTCTGCGTCACACGCTTTATTTGCGGGGTCTGTGCACAGCATGTGCATAACGATGCTCAGAGCAGGCTGTACTGGTGGTAAATATACGGTAGGGCTGGGCGATATAGCTAAAAAATGTATCAACGATATAATGTTTTACATCGTTCGGTATCGATAATTATTGACATTTTTTATAACCTTTTTTAAAACAAAACGCAATAGAATTTTTTTTTTTATTTAACCACTGTGTTTTTAATTTACCCAATTTATTGAGACAAACGACTTTTTTTTTTTTTTACAGTCAAACACAACATAAAATGTAAACAAATATCTCCTTTCTTATGTGTTAGATGTAGATTAAATAAGTCTTATGGAAACTTTTGGCTTGTCTCCCGAGGCCACAGGAGAGCGCAATGAGCAAAACAATGCAGCGTATTAAATTGTCAATGCAATGAAATAACTGTCCACAAAAAAAATGTGCATAACGTCTAAATTAACATACATAAATCAAATATAATTTCGTAAACTGCATAAACAATTATGAACAAAACAGCATCATGTGTTTATGCATTGCTTAGCCTAATACAAAGAGCCAAATCGCCGATCACACAGATTGCATTTAAAAACAAATGAGACGCA